CACTTAAGAAAAGTAGTTCTGGTAAGCAAGTAATGACATATCCTCCAAAGCAGCTGTGGAAATGGTTGAGAGCTGGGGCTCATCAATTTGCTGGAGATGGTTTTGCAAGAAATCTCTGTGTGTCTGGCTTGACTGTCTCTGTTCCCACTCCTTCCCCTTCTCCACAGTTTCTCAACGAAGTGAGTGATTTGCACCATGGGCCAGGCAGAACCAGAGGGCTCAGAGATAAAACGGAGGTGGAAGGGAGTTACGTTTCCATCAGCAAGATTCAGGGACCCAGAGCAGAGCTGAAGGGGGTGCCGTGAGTCTGACAAACATGGGGTGGCTGGCCTTCTGCTCGGCTTCTCTTTGGCAATCCCACTGGAAAACAGGATAAGCCACATTTATGAAGGATGCAGTGGACCTCACTTTTCAAGCCCTTGTTGCATACGCTGGCTGTGAAATGACACACTTGCTGTGCTTTTTCCTTGCAGCAATATCAGAACCAGTTATTTCAACAAACAGAAGATGTGGATGGGAAAACAGAAATCATCATCAAGGTAAGCTCTGGTTGAGTCGTTTTTTAGGAGGAGTCCTTTGTCTTGTTGCATTTAAAGGTCCAGAAATCATATATTCTGTGGCTGGCCTCATCTTCTGAGCCTTCCCTGGCAGGACACATGCTCTGCTCTGGCACAGTGTGTTCTATTTCCATGTTTTCACAGCCTCTTATGGTCCTCTGGAACTATGGTTAGTCAGTCTGAGGCATCTCCAAGTAATGGCAATGCAGCACCAACTGGTTTTTCCTTTTTGCCCTGTAAGCTGGGTTTCAAGCCCTGTTTTGGTAGCCTCCGTTTATGGCTGTACATCAGGAACACGACTGTGGTTCAGTCACACCATCTGCTAATTGTAGGTACTTGGATGTGCTGTGAGCCAGTGGTGTGATGAGCTCGGTGCTGAGCATCAATGAGCATCGGGCGCCAATGACTGGGATGGTAGTGCTCAGGAGAAAAGCGAGTCTGCAGCACTGAGTTGTGCTCGTGTTGGGCACTGCACTGATGGTGCTTCTCAAGCTGAGAAAAGTTTCCTGTGCCAGACTAGCTCTGATGTGCTAATAATGTGTCAGTAACTTAATGAGCTGGGAACGGAATGTTCTGCAGCGTACTTACTTTTGTGATAAAAAAATAATCAGATTTTCGTTCTTCTGAAATTTCAGCTTTCCTGCTGTGCCAATCAAGGGATGGCCAATCAAAAAAATGGAGATCAGCAAATCTCCACCTAACGATACAGGCTATGTTAATTGATGTCACCAGCCTAAGACTAAATTGCTAGACACAGAAGCATCCTTTAAAAACCAGATGTGATTTTCAATCTCTGTATGCTACCTCATCCTCTGGGTTTAAGTCTTGTGCTCCTCTTACAATCTTATGTTTACTCCTCTGCCTTCTGCTTCACTGCAGTCACCCCTCCGTTGTTGTTCCCTCTGATGTGGTCCCTTTGCTTCTTGTTTTCACAGCAGTCGTGTGTCAACTGTGGCCGCGAGGCAATGAATGAGTGCACGGGATGCCATAAAGTCAACTACTGCTCCACTTTCTGTCAGCGGAAGGTACAAGAGTGTCTTTGAGTTGCAGATGGAGCTGTGCAGAGGGAACACATGACACTGGAGTCAGCCTGCGTGCGGGCTGAGGGCGCAGCACAGGCAGGAACATGCTGTGGAGTAGGGGGTCACTGTGAGCCAGGGTGCAGTGCTGGGGTGGGTCAAACAGGTAAGGAACAGCCCCAAGATCTGCACACCCCTTCTGAAAGAGGGTGTCAAAGTGTGAGTACAACCAGCAGTGAGGCGTGGGCACACTGCTGGTGGGAAGTGGGAGTGTTGTACAAGTCCTCCCAGCTGCTCCCTGGAAGCTGCATGCTGCTCAGTACCTCTGATTCTGTGCCACTGAAGCTGCAGTTTTCTTATTCTTCAACTTATTATTTGTAGTGGTATGGATGATAGGATGAATTGAGCACACACAAACTGTATAACTTTAAAATGGGAGGTAGAAACAAGTAAGAAGAGGAAGCTGCAAGGCTTTGTGTTGCTCATAGGTTCCTTACAAAAACCCTTGGCACCGCTTGCTTTAGAAGAGAGGATAATCTGGTTTAGCTACAGCCTCTGCGACCTGTCCAGGTTCATTCTTTGTCATCTGAACAGAGCAGCTGAAGAATTTTGACTGTTTCTTTGGCCTATACCAGAGCATAATGATGGCCATCCCTGCACAGCAGGAAGGCTGAAATTTCAGAAGAATGAATGATTGCTTCTTGCAGATAAATGACAAAATCTGCCTACTGCCCCAAGCATCTCAAAGACAGTAATTTCACCCCATTGTTCTGTCAGTATGAAACGTGCTGGGAAATGTCACCAAGTGGTCATGTGCTGGTCTCCCTCTGAGGCAGCTTATAACTGCTCCATGAAGATTCAGCCTTTAAAGGAAGCTTACAGATGAGAGGGAGAGGAACTTCTTACACAGGCAGATAGTGATAAGAAAGGGGGGCTGGTTTTAAACTAAAAGAGGGGAGGTAAAGGTTAGATGTGAGGAGGAAATTCTTTACTCATTGGGCAGTGAGGCCCTGGCATGAGCTACCCAGAGAAGCTGCAGGTACCCCATCTCTGGGCTGTTTCTTCATGGCCTCTCCATCTGCTCTTCCCTGCAGGACTGGAAGGAGCACCAGCACATCTGTGGTGAGGCCAACGCGGTGACAGTGCAGGCTGATGATGTGCATGTGGCAGACAATGTGATGGAGAAGGTCTCTGTCTGAGCACACCTACCTCTGACCACAGGGCAGTGTGGTGCAGCCGGCTGGATCGGCGGCCTGACGCAGCGGTCTGTCCTTTACGAACAAACTCATTTCTGAAAGACTTTTTCATACTGTGACAGTGTTTGCCTACTTCCAGTCCTACTGCAAACCTCTGGATAACGCAGAGACTGAGAAATCCGGATGGAAGAGGCAAACTGCAGCCTTCCATCCGGGAGCCTCCTCCAGTTTGAGGAAGCTTAGATTTTGCCAGACTGAAATCTCCACTGTGTGGATAACAAGAACCTCATCGTCTCTCTTGAGATGGATTAAGAATAGTTGCTGCAATTAGATTTGCTGTTGTTCTGTTTTCCCCATGCCTCCCTACCTCTTATTTGAAAAAAGGAATGATCCCTCATTTGGTTTATTTAATTGCCTTGAAAAAGTACAAACTCTTAATTTGCCTTTGGAAGGACTTTGTTTTGTTTTGTTTATCTGTGTTCCCTCTGTGCTGGAGAAATTTGGAACACACTGGAGCTTCTGCACTTGAATATGACTGAAAAATCACATCTTGTTCAATAAAATTTGATAAAAGCACGTGAACAAATGCAGCATGTGAGGGGTGCTTCCGCAGGGAGTTTTGCACAGAGAGGTGTTGGCTCTTAGTCTTTGCAGGACATCAGTGTGGATGTGATGTGGCAGTGGGGAGGAGCAACTCTCAGCACGGCAGCATGCCCTGACTGCAGCGCCAAAATTCGAGCAGCCCCCAGGCAAGAGTGCACAGAGAGCTCTGGCCTCTCACTGCTGCTTAGTAGCTCCTAATTAAAGCAGTGGTGAGCATTAAGAGGTTATTGGCTTTTTTCTACTACTCCAAAATGCTTTAATTAATAACATGCTGCTTTGATAACTTAGGCTATGGTTGCTATTACTAACTTTCTAGTTGCTCACTGAGATGAGTTTTCATCTTGCTGCTGAGATTGAGCACCAGTGCTGGTGGAAGGAAGGTAGCAGTGTGCCACCCTCCTCTGAAGGAAACCATTCCTTAGTGGGAAGCCAAGCATGAGCTTTGCGGGCTGAGAACAGAAATCACACACAGAGTACTCTGGGGAGGAAAACAGGCAATTCTGTAGAAACCCATCGCAAGCAACGTACCCACTGTTCAAGCATCCCCAAAGTCATTCTTCAGTATTTGCAGTCATTTCTTCTTACACGACGAGTGCCAGTTAGAAAACTCTTTAAGATAATTACTTAATGGAAAAGATGCTCTTAATTGAACCCACAACAATACAACTAATTTACTAGGTTTCTTGCCTCCATCTATTGTGCATTGAGGTTCTGACTAAAGGAAGCAGTGCGTCGTGCTGAACACCCTGTGCTGTTTGGTTTAAGCACCCATTTGTTCTCAGCTGCATCTTGCATTCTCCCCAGAGGAACATCTCTGCAGAGCAGTGCTGGGCTGGGAGAGGAGCTGTGTGTTGGTTCAGGGACAACTGCAGGTACACAAAGACATGAGCTCAGACATACCTCATCCATGCTTGCCAAACCCACGTTTGTGCAGATAACTGAGCAGCAATTTATACCAGAGCAAAAAGCTCTCCAGTATCGTCACTACGCAGCTTGTGGATGAGTGTATGTAATGCTTTGGTTACAGTCTGAATTTTGTTTTTATTGCATCTTCTGATTAAGGAGATTCTGAAGAGTGTGAGTGGGACAAGAGTCCTAAATGAAGATGTGTAGGTATGACTCATGTGTGATTAAAGTTCTCTAGAAGCTTCTCATCAGGGCCCTGGCATCTGGGGGAGCTACCCCCTATAGCACACTGAACTTGTAAGACTGCATTATAATTGTTGTGGCAACGTAAGCTGTTTATTTGTCGATGATAAACTGGCGAAGCAATCGTTATCCTTAGTGGAAGAAAACCTCCAGACCTCCCAGCAAGTCTTTTATTTCTAAGCACACAAATTACCCCTTGGAAAGCAACAGCCCTGCATGAAAATCATTAGTCAGAAGATTGCCATGCTGTGCAATATCCCACTGTCTTGTGGGATCTCTTGATGTCTACATCAAGCACCGAGTGTTAAAGAAGCGGCGACGCCTGCAGCTTCCAGTGGGGGGAATATCCAAGCTGTAACCACTGCACTCACCTGTAACTCCTCGCAGTGGAGACAGGGCTGGGAACCACCGTCCTCCAGCTGCTATCCTGGAACCATCTTTCTTCTCTCCCTCCTCCCCAACAAAGACAGCAGACCTTAGGCAGAAATAGATCTTTAATGAACTATACAAAGTTATCCTGGTTGTTCCCTCCAGTTCCGTGAGCTCAGCAGAAAAGGTGCAAGACTTTGCGGAAGAAGTTCCTGAACTCGGCGTTGAAAACGGTGTAAATGATGGGGTTGACAGCGCTGTTGACGTAACCCAGCCAGGTGACGATGCTGGTGACTTGAGTGGGAATGGTGCAGGACTTGCAGAGAGCCCTCGTAATGTGGACCACAAAAAAAGGTGTCCAGCAGAAGAGGAAAGCACCTGGAAGGAGAAAATTAAAGAGAGAAAGCATTGTGTTAAAAAGGGCTGGAGTTAACAAACGCAGAGCTACGATCTCTCCATGACAAAAATTTTGGTCAACTTCCTAAATGTTAGTGAAGAAAAGGTGTAAGTTGTGTGTCGTTTTTGGGTTAGCAAGAGTCACAAAGCTGACAGCTGAAGTGAAGGTTGAATTAAAAACATCCTATGTGTGTTTTTTCCCAGGAGTGATGCTACTCTGGATCAAAGGGAGACTGAGGCACTCCCTGGACCGGGTTCAACAAAATCCTAAACCCTGTCGGACCACACAGCACGTTTCTCACCGTCCTCGACCAGCCTCTGCCACCGGCCACTCACCAACAACCACAGGCAGTACCCTCATGGCCTTCCGTTCCCGGCCGTTGATCTTGGCCCGCTTCTGACTGTGCGCCGGGTGTGGGTACTTGAGGTGTGGGTAGGAGACAGTCTGGAGCCCATTGCTCATCACATAGTCCCCAGAAAGGGGGTGCTCAGGGTGCATATAACGGTGGTACTCGTCCGGCTCCGTGCCAACCCCCTCTCTCTCAATGAAGGGTGAGGGGTGATAGAGCATTCTGTTGCCCCCGTAGATGCCACCCCTTAGCTTGGCCTTCCTGGCTTCTTCCCAGCGCCTGAGTCCTTGGAACATGGCGCAGTAGAGCACCAGCATGACAGGGCAAGGGATGAAGAAGGAGCAGATGGAGGAGTACACAATGTAGTTGTCATCCTCCAGCTGGCACAAGCTGGGGTCCCGGTTCGGGACATTGTTGAGGCCAAATATGACTGGGGATGCCACAGCAAAGGCGAATATCCACGTGGTGGAGATGAGGATCATCTGCCGCAGGTCGACTTGTCGCCGGTTGTAGTTCAGCGGGACTGAAACAGCAATAAACCTGCCAACACAGGTGGGTCGGTGCTTGTGTGAAGGTGGCACCACTAGTAGGGTAAGGTAAGAGAGTGGCAGCAGCTTGATGCTGAGACATGAGCCCTCTCCTCCGGCGTAAGGAGGAGGAAGGCACTTACCGATCCACACTGATAGCACAGAGGTTGAAGATGGAAGCTGTGCACAGCATCACATCCATGGTCATCAGGGCATCGCAGAGCACAGTGCTGAGGGACCACACGCCACCCTGAAACTTAACGACAAGATCCCTGGTCAGTAGGTGCCTCTAACATGCAGGGAAACAGCTCTGCATATAAGTGTATAAAATGCCCCCGGGAGCATCCTTTGGGCAGGGCTTGTCCCCTGACTTCTGCTCCTGTGTTCCTGAGGTACATCTGTACCCTGTGCCTGGTACCAGGAGGCCAGCACTACTGGCCAGGGACCAAACCAAAGGCTTCTTCTCCCAGCTGTGGCCCCAAGCAGCACCACTGGACTGAAGGTTTCCAGTTGTGCTGTGTTTCTGAACCAGCCTTGGAGACAGCTCTGTCTGGCGCTCCAGCAGAGATATTAGGGTTGAAATTCCCTCAGGGCTCTTTCTGCTTGAAGCACAGTCTTTCTAAGTCTGGTCCAAGCGCTTTGTGTCTCCCTGTGCTCTTTGGGTGTCTAGCGACCTGTACAAACTTGAGGTTTTTGACATTCATGGTCCTCCCCATTCGCATTTCCAGGAGCAGGCACTCTCCCGGATTAGTATCAGTCAGCACTGATGTCACACACAGGATTATGATTAGTGGAGCTGCAAAGCCAAAGGAGACTGGAGAAACTGTTGGGCTATTTTTATACACCCATCTCCTTGAGAGGCCCCATCAGCTTCCAGAAGAGCACTGGAGTCAGACCTGGGAGTTTCATTTGGGCTTTTCTCTAGGGCAGATCAGCTGCTTCAAGCAGAATTTGGGAGCTGAATCCTGAAACACAACCCTCACATTTTTTACCAAAGCTTCACCAGGATCCTGTCCAGTTTCATTGGAGAAAATTTGTCTCTGGGCTGTGGTGTTCAAAATCCATTTGTGGTTTCATGGAATGAATGGGTTCTGAACAGGCCCTGAGCTGCTGACCTGCAGCACCTTCCAAGGAATTCCAAGAGCTTTCGCTGTGGAGCTCGCGTTGGGCGCCCTGGAAGTTGAGCACTCCCACAAAATGTGCCCGGAATCCCTCTGGTGGAGGAGTGACTTTGGATTAGAGGCAGAGCTGGCTTTGCTTGGTCATGTGGCCAAATGGTACCTCATTACAGCAGGTTGCAGAAGATTAGCCCATCAAGGTACACAGCGTAAAGCTTTACGGATCACAAACAGCTCAAGCCGCCTTTAACAAGTGCTCCAGAACAACTCTAATTTTTTTTTTCCCCCCCACATTCTTTGCTTTTTTTTGCATGAGACCCTCCATGTTTTTTCCCAGTAGTGCTGGTGCTGAGAAGAGACAGACAGGCAGTTGCACAGTAAAGCATGCAAGCTGTCTTCCTTACCAAAATAAAACAAAGCGGCAAATATAACCCCAAGAGCCAGCCTATGTCTTTTGTAAGGCATTCTCTGCACAGATCTGGCAAGGTTTCACTCTTATTTCATGTGATAAAAATACATGCTTCTCTCTGTTGCCACACAGGAGCTTCATAGCTGTCCTCTTGCCAGCCCTGTGAGGAGGCTCAATGGGAGCACATGAAGAGGACTTTGGCGGGGATGGCATCCAAAATACAATGCTCAGAAAGTAGCAGGCTGCAAACATTAGGAGGTTGTAGAATCTTAACATTGCTAAGGTTGGAAAAGACCTCTAAGATCCCTCACCCACCCCCACCCTGTCCCTCAGTGCCACATCTCCACATTCTTGGAACTCCTCTGGGACAGTGACTCTACCACGCTTTTGGCAGCCTGTACCAATGCATCACCACTCTTTCAGGGGAGAATTTTTCCCTAATATCTGACCTGAGATGCCCAGCTGGATTTCCAGGTACCTGCCTACCATCAGCAAGGCTGACGGAACCATCAGTTCAAGGGTGTAACACGGAGAAAGTGCTGATTGAAGAGCTCGAGCCTGCTGAGAAGGATGTGGCACCAGCAATAATCCTGGTGTGTGAGTGCAAAGTCCACTACATCTGATTCCATAAGTTTCCTGAATGTCCAGAGGAAGCTGACTGCCTCTGCTTCTGCTCTGCGGGCAGAGTGCCTGCTGGAGAGAATCATCTTCTCCGACCTGTAGAGGTGCAGGGTAAGAGTGCAGAGCTGCTAAAACTGTCTCCTCTTTTTCGTAAATGCTTACACGGATCTTAGTGGCAAAGATGTTTACATAACTGTACCTCGCACAGCTCCTGCCAGCAGCTTCCTGGCTCGGCCCCATTTCATGGCTCAGGCAAGGATTAGGGAAGGAGCTGAGCAGGGCGAAGCAGGTAGGAGGCACAGCTACAGCTGAGCAGCATGACTGTAGACTGAAAGCTCAGTTTCCTGTGCTGGTTGGAAGATCAGAGCTGACCAAGGACAGCGATGTTTGGATTGAGGGAAGACGAGCTTCATCACATCCATTTCAACACCCCCAAGTATTAACCTGGCCTGGTTATTTACTTAAGGCAGATAAAGACACCAAAGGATTACAGCGCAGAACTGATAGTTTTGGACAGGCACTGAAGTGAGTGCACTTAAAGGAGCATCGTTGCTAAGGCACAGGCAGGGCAGCTCAGGCTCCTAAAGCTCACCCAGGACTGACCACCCATCCTGAGCATTCAGCAAGTGTCTGTCATCCCCAGGGAGGCATCCACAATGCTCTGGCCAGCTGCAAATGCTTCTCAGGGGCACAGCAGGGTATGTCAGCTGGGGACAGGAAAGGGGAAAGGGGAAGGGAAGAGGAAGAGAAGGGCAGAAGAAGGGCAGAAAGCCAATCAGCAAGAAATAGCTAAGAAGAATGATAAAACACAGAGGCTTCCTAAGGACCAACATTGAGACATGCAGGGAAAAGCAAATGCACCCAGCCCAAGCAATATGACGGGGCTCTTCTTGGTGCAGTGGAAAGAGGGGGGAATCTCTTACACTCCTGTTTGTCACTGGTCCTTATGGGTCCCTAGCAGAACGTGTGCCTCTAGAAGAGCTCTGGGGAGACAGGTCACAATGTCCCAACAAATCCTAGGACTAGGTAGAGGGACTAAAAGCATCCTAAGCTCTAATCTGCTGCCTTCCTTGCTTAAGAAAATATAGGTCCAGCCCTGGTGTAGGAGAGGAGAGGAGACACTCATGCCAGTGTGATCCTGTGCTGGCCTTCAGGGACAGGAACACCACTCTGCCACACGACAGCCCCTTCCATCCCTTAGGAAGCTCTTACAAATCCTATGGCAATGAAAAATCACACTTTCAGGAAAGTTCACTGACAGCCATCCTGAGCCTGCAGGTACAGCTTTCTGGGGCTGCTCCCTCTGCATGGCATTACACCTCTGCTCTTCCCACATCTGAAAAGAGGTCCTCTGTCTTCTACACTCCCAGCTACTACAAGAACAGGTGCAAAAAGTCAGCTCTTTTGGCCTATGGGTGCTTTCCTCCATTTGTCTGAGGACTGATAGAGTTGCGATGGGAGCAGGGAAAGCCACGTGCAGGTCCAACAAACCCCTCTGAAATAGCAGGTTGGGCCAGGAAGAGGAGCAACAAATCTCCCTGCAATCTCAAAGCATCATCAGTCCTCAGGCAGAATCAATTTATTTCTATTTCACAACAAGATGCAAAACCACTCAGGAGCACCTGAATTGCACACTCCTACCTCTCGCTCCTGCTTCCCTTTCCCTCAGCTGTCGTGGTCTCGGAGGGGAGCAGGTTTCAGAGGTGACTCCAAGCCTGCCAAACAGAGCACACCAGCCAGAAGGAATCAAACAGGAAGCCACCAAAGCCACTTCAAGGGTGACCACATCTCTAAAGAGGCAGCATCCCCTCCTCAACTTGTCACAGCAATCTGCTACCTGGCTAAAGACCTCCTCACAACCCGACTCACAGCAGCCAGAATACAGCATGGGAGCTCACCATCTCTTCCTAAACATTGGCTGATGGCCAATTGGGATGCTCGCAGTGCAGCGGCTCCCAGAGCAGATATCCCAGGGCACTGGGGCTTGGGGAATTTGGGGATCAGGACATTTGGGGCTTGGGGTTTGGGAGCTTGGGACATTTGGGGCACTGGGTCTTGGGACCTTGTGGGCATCAGGGGGGCATCCAGGGCAGCCAGGACAAGGGGGAGTAGCCATACTTGTGCAGAGCCAACTGCTGTCACCTCCAGCGGTCCAGGACGCCAGCAGGGACGGCAGAACCGCCCCCCCTGCCCCGTTCCCTCTGCCGCCCCCCGAGCATCTCTCACCTCGGAGTAGACGTAGAGGGGCAGGACGAGGAGGGCGAGCAGCAGGTCGGCGACGGCGAGGCTGACAATGAAATAGTTGGTGGTGGTCTTGAGCGCCCGCTCCGTGCACACGCTGAGGCACACCAGCCCGTTGCCCCCGACGATCAGCAGGATGAGAACGATGCCCAGCACCAGGGCGGCGATGTTGTGGCCGGCCGGAGGAGGAGGAGGAGGAGGCGGCGGAGCGGTGCCGTTGCAGGGGGAGGCCCCGGCGCTGCCGTTCCCCATGGCGCCGGGGCATGGAGCCGCCGAGCCGCCGCCTCCCCGGCTCAGCCCCCCGCGGCAGGGAGAAGCGAAGGCGCTCCGCCGGCTCCGAACTTTGCGAGGTGATGGGAGGAGCCTCCCCCGGGCCGCCCCGGGACAGTAAGCGGCTCACCGGGATAAGGCGAGGGGGAAGGGAGTGACGAAGGGGAGCTGTGAGATCCGTTCCAGCCCAGCCGTGCCGTGTTTGTGTGCTTCGAACACAGCCGTCTCCCCTGTCATGAGCCTGGCTGCGCTGATCGGAGTTAGGAAATAGCGGAGGCATCGGTCCCACAAGCGCTGCGCTGCGAATACGGTGGTGGATCAAAGCGCTGTCGGATCTTAGCAAAGCCTTGACAAAGCTAGAGGAGAAAAAAACACACACACACAAACCGACAGGTCTTCAAGTAGAAAATTGTTTCAAGTTAGCCTGACCTGAAGATTTTCCCCAGGAGATTTAAAGCACTGATACCAACGGTGATGAGAGAAATCATTGCTCTGATCTCCAAGAGCATTTGAAGGACTGTGAAGACTCTGGAAGTGCAGAAAATGGCAAACGCTACCTCTTTTTAAATGGAGAGAGTCAGGAGATCAGGGAACTAAAGAGCAATCTGTGTTGTTTTTAGTAGCAGATCTTGTTCAATGATTTCCCTATGAGGAGTTGATGGGGGAGGGTATTGGTTGTGGGGCACTGAGATGTCCCGACCTGATCCCTTTGCCCCCTCAGAGGGCATATCACTGCATCGACCCCTATGCTGGTGGAGAAACACACTGCATTTCTAGCAGAACCAGAGTCTGGGGATGGACAGGAGGGCTGTGACCCCCATTTCTAGCTCAGGTGGGCTGGGAGATGTGAGACCTTATCCTCCATCAATGGGCATCTTTCCAGCTGTGCTGCCAAACCTCTGCTCAGCCACTGACCATCCCATCCTGATCAGCCTTCTATTGTGGAAGGCAGCAGGAAGGGAAGGCATTGCAAGAAAGGATCATTTACACCAGAAGGAAGGGGGAAACTGCATTACTGCCTGCTTTTTATGAGACAAGAAGCTTCTCAGAGCTGCTAAAATATCCAGATATCACTTCCATCTAACCCAGGAGGAGACTGGCAGAAAATTCCTCGCTCCAGCCTTCTCTGCCCCTCATCCCCAAATTCCTTTACTTTTGTTTGAAAGACACAATCAAATCCTCAGCATCTGCAGCATGGGAAAGCCAGAGCCCCATTTCCAGCAGCGAGGACTTGGATCTCAGTTCCATCCTTGCCCTGCAGCTAACAGCACTTAATCCCACTGTTTTATCCAGCTGCTTCAGGCTCCGGAGCTGCATATGCGAGAAGGAGAAAATTACCTTGGCTTACGTACTCAGCGGGCACTCTGCCTCGCTAAATATTGTCCCCAGAGGTGTGATTTCCAAGCTTTTTTCCAAAATCAACAGGAACATCATCTCTTTGGGAGCTGCCTCCTACCCCTGGCATAGCATTGCCATTTTCCCGTTGATCCCAATCCCTGTGTGTGAGTCTGTTCTGCTCCTTGGAGATGACCAAACTTTGATGTGGAATTAAACCTGCACGGCAGAACAAAGCTCTGTCCTGCTGGCTCCCTGCCAGTCGCAGAGGGATTCCTTCAGGCCTTCCGCTCTGCCTGGAGCTTCCACGTTCCTCTGGAACAATTCACCTCCTGCACAGGTGGGCACAAACAGGGCTGCTCATCTCTCAGGTCAAGAAGAGCTGGTTTGGCAACATCACTTGTAGCAGAGCCCTTCTGGGCTCCAAGGAAACAGTTCAAACAAGTCAAGGGAGGCCTTGAGGTGCATTAGTGGAACTGTGGACAGAGTGCCCTTAATTTATTTCTATTTAACCACCCTGAGCAGCACAGGGATCAGGACTGAATTGTAACTGCAGACCTTCTGCCTTCCCACAGGGATTAATGCCATTTGTCTAACCTACTTTAACACTCAATTTGTATTAATTATCTTGATTTTCCCAGTGGGTTAGCACAGGATGGCTCTAAACTGCATGGAAGTCCTTTTGCCAGGCTAGCGGTGCTTTAATCCTAGACCAGTTTAATCCTGGAGTAGATTAATCTAATGTGAAATATATCTTTTGATTTCCAAAAGAGAGCAGCCGTGCAAGGCGCTTATTAGGGCAGTTCTTCCAGTGCAAACTCCCAGGCTACAGCAATGCTTGCCCACTGCTTCTAAGTCCAGTGGTTTCTCTGTGTGTGCTGCCCGCAGTGCACCCTTAGCAAATACAGCAGTTGTAAACCACATCCCCAGCTCCATGTAAGCAGTCATGAGCTAGAAGGTTTTGGTGGCTTTGCTGTGAGTGTCCCCAGAAAGCTTTCTCTTCTCTGCTAGCAGATTGGAGCATTAGACACAGTCCATTGCTTGGAGAAGAGGAACTGTGCTCATAGCAGAAGAGACAGGGTAACATGTCAACGCACCCAAAGAAGTCATCTCATGTCACTGCAAAAATAAAAAACACAAAAATGCAAACGGCAGAGCTGTGTGTCACCCTTGCAGTAAGCAAGAAGCATCATTAGGCATCCCTGCCAGGGCTGGGATGGTTGAGTGATGGACGGTGAATATTTAAGAGCACCTTTGAAGAGTTCCTGATGAGATAGGTAATTTTGAACAATGTTTTTTTTGCCTGGGTATACAGCTTGCAAAGTGTCCTTATTAACCAGGCACACCGTCACACCCTTTGGGCTCAGTCCAAGAGTTGGAGAGGTTGTGAAATCACCTGCAGCTGCTTTTCTTGATATAAAAAATAGTTTATTCTGTACTAAGCAGGCACTGTGAAGGACACAAGGGGTGAACAGCAGCACATTTCTTCCAGCAGAACCACCCCAGCGTCACGTAAGACCAGTCCATCAAAGAACCATCTGCCCATACTGGCTCTTTCTTTTGTACCAGGAAGGCAAGAGACCCTCTGCAGATTCACACTGAGTCTTCAATAACAAGACTCTGATGTTCAGTATTTTCCAGAACCTCTTCCTTTCCTTCTTTGCCACCACAGCCTGTGGCATGCAAGGACTTTGCTAGAGAGTGCAATGCCACCATCACTGCCCAGCAGCCAGCTCTGAGCTCAACCCCAACAGGGAGCCAAGGAGGCAGAAGGAGAACCCCAAGGGCTCCCCAGGCTCAGGTTATAGCGAATCTGCTTTGTTAATCAGTTCAATGGACCAGGGAGGTTGCCTGTGAGACATGATGTCTCAGAATGTCCCAAGGCACTTAGAACTTTGATCACTGTGGTTGTTCAAGCCTGAACAGTACTGAATTTTTACGTAGAAAAGGAGAACAAAATTACCTGTCAAAATTTCAGCACAGATTTGCCTGAAGTCAGCTGTTGAATAGTACCCTGATAGCTGGGCAACACATCACTGAGGCTGTCTTCAGGTTCAGAACAAAGGGAGGAAAATAAAGAGCTTTTACAGCCAATCCTATTCCTTTTATTTGACTTTATTTAGCTGAGTGATTCTCTGTGAAAGTACCATCCACAGCGAAACTGTCCTGCTTCGCAATCTGCCTGTAATGCATTTCCAAGAAAAGAGACCAAGACAGTGTCCTGTCTTTGCCAGGGAGAGAAGAAGACAGCAGAGATCTCTGGGCTTCCAGCCTCTCCAAGCCCCCCCTCCAAGAAGCTACAGGGATATAAATCCATGTAAGTCATAGAATCATGCATTTTTAATGGTGATTAGCTGTGGGAAAGAAGCTACAGAGAAGGCAGGGAGATTTACTGTCTCTTTTAGCTTATAATCACATCTAGATGTTTTTGTGGGTGCCTGGCTTCAGACTAAGCCATATAATTGATCTCATACAACGGTAACCTCCTGAAATACAAGGGCTTGTGTCACAGAATGGATCAAATTAATGTACCTCGAGAGCCCCTCCTGCCCTTGAAACATCAGTGAGCTTACTGGGGCTATTCCCTAAGAAAAAGCTCCTGGGAAGGAGACGTGCACAGTATCAAACAGGCATGGAAAGGCACACCTGTGATCAGCAAGAGCCTCAGAAGGAACTTATCTCACAAACCCTGTCAGGTCCCTGACACCTGACACCAAAATGACATCCAAGTGTTGGGAGCTGCCATGCTCACTGCTGGCACCGCACACCTGGAACAGCTGGGCTGGGCCACCCGCCAGCTAGGTCATGGAGCATGTTATCTTTATACTTAAAATTAATTCCCGAAAGTACTTTCTCCTCTTCCCCATACACAGCAAACAGCTGGAGGCTGAGATTACAGATGCTGATGCCAATTAGAGCTGTGGCAAAGCCAAGCGCATGGGGAGCATTAGCGCAGAGCTCTGCTGCAGAGAGCCTGTGCTCAGAGCTCCTCTGCATTAAGGAACAAGGCAGTGTCCAGTTGGGAAAAGCCATGCCAGACCAAGAGCCCAAGGACAGCCTGAGCAGCCCTGTCCCTGCACGTTGTTGTCCCCCAGGCAGTTGGATAAGGGATGGCTTGGCTTGCTCCCAAAACTTCTCTCATCCCAGTCCTTTGGGAAAGCAGTACATTTGCCAGCATGCTAGATGAGACGTGCCATCACCCCCCTCCTCCCAGCTCTTAGCAAAACATTCAATGGATTTTGTTTTTCCTGTGCGTGTCAAGTACCTAATACTTTATTCCTAAAGAACTGGATTTTGTGGCAGGTTTCACCCAAGGGTTTGGCTCAAAGCAGATATGGCTTTGATCCAAATAGCTGAGGTCTGCTCTAGCACAGCCCAAATCTCCCCACACAAAGGTTTTGCTGTCCTTCCCCACAGGTACTGCTGTCAATTTCAGAGATAACTAGCATGTCCAGCATCTTCCAGACTTCAGAGCAAATGGGCACACTTTCAGGAATGTGACATCTTATGCCAGTGATTTCCTCTCATCCCCCATATTTAACTTTGTTTTCAAGCAGGTGCAACCCTGAAGAATGATACGCCAAAGCACAGCACATCTCTGCCATGCCTTTCTGGACTCTGCTGCCCAGAAGAAAGCAGGAAGGCATAAGCAATCCAAGGGAATCCCGAAACATCTTAGGAGTTGAGTGCAGTACAGACAGATAGACAGACAGAGCCATGCACATCCCTCACATCCCTAGAGGATGATAGAATGGGGGGAGATACTTCTCTCTTCTGAGAACTCTAAATCCCAACATCTTTGCTTGGGGTTATTTGCTCCTTGCTACATCACTTGCTGCTCTGGAGGGATGCGTAGCCTGAAGGAATGGTTCTCCTTCCTTCTCCCTCTCCAAGGCTGGGACTTGAATGAACCCCAGATATTTATCATACTGAGCACGGAAAGGTGCATACTCCCTGCTCACAGGGGGATCCTTTAAGGTTTGCTGTAGACCATTTGCACAGACAAGAGGCACAGGGATGCCAACAAAACAGAGAGCTTTCCCCTTTGTTTTATGCTTTGCTTTAAGCACAAGCCTCCAAAGGGGACCGCAATAGTTT